AAGCTAAAAATATATAGAAAAAATTAGCTTGGCATGGTGGCACATGCCTATAGTTCCAGCTACTCAGGAGGCTGAGGCAGTAGGATTGCTTGAGCCCAGGAGTTTGAGGTTGCTGTGAGCTAGGCTGACACCATAGCACCTGGGGCAACAAAGTGATACTCTGCCTCCAAAAAAAAAAAAAAAGAATAAAAGATGAGTCCAAGAATTTTGGCCCAAGTAAAAGAAGGATGGAGGTGCCCTTAACTCAGATGTGGAATATTATGTAGAACAGATTTGGGAGCAAGAAAAAATAGAGCTCAATTTTGTCCATCTTAATTTTAAGATGCCTATTAGACATCTAAATGAAGACTGTGAAATAGGTTTAATGTGGGGAAAAGATTTATAAAAGGGTAAAAAATACCAGTATATATAGTCACTGGCTTTATACAATCAGAAGAAACATTTAAAAGCAAGTTCCTATTTAGAAAATAAGTGGAATCTGAACACTGACAAAAAGACACTCTAAATAAGAAGGGTTAAGTATATTTGACAAAATGAAAAAAGAAATTTCATTACAAAAACTAAAACATAACACTTTCCTACATAGGCAGTGCTTCTCCTGAGATTGACACTAAAAGAAATTTATCTTAGAATTTTATATAGAAACCACTGAGTAGCAGAATACATTATGAATTCACCACATTCCTATAGAAAACATAACAGTGGCTTTCTTAAAACTTTTATTCTACAGTTCGTCAAAGAAAACTGAAGATGTAAAAACAAATTACCCATGAAGGCTCAGGTAATATTGTCCATTTATTATTTAGAGTCAGAATTATCTTCTTAGCAGTAATAGCTGGAGTTAAACTGGTCAAACCAAGAACATCATCCCATTTATTTCAGAGGAGAGGAAGGAGGTAGGGAAGCGGATGGGGAGTTAGAGAAGGAGAAGAACTCTATTATATATAAGAAAGTGTTGAGGAGAAACTATGTAAAATATTGAAATATGGTAAATATGACATTCTAATACTGTAAGCAAAAAATAACATTTTATAATGTGAAGTCTAGTATAATTTTTGTCACAGCTACTAACACATTATTTTACTGACTGAAAAGACATCAAAACACCAATTATAAACAGAGGCTGTTATACTTCATTAGGACATAGGAATAGTAGACATCAACTCTTTAATCATAAGATCAAACACAAGTTAAAACTGAAAAGAACTATGTACTTTTATCATTAAAAATATAAGTAGTCACTTCTTATAAAACACTCTCTTCCTGGCATTCATATCAATATGCAGAAACTTTCTGCTTAAAAATTAGAGTTACAGAAGGAAAGAAAAGGAATTATACTGTACGTCAACCACTGACTTTCCACCCCATAATCATGAAGCTCCACATTTAGAATGCACTGTTATTATACAAGGGTTAAGAAAGAAGGAAGTACTTTTCTAGCAGATATAATTCTGCACAATTACTAAAATTCAAATAGGGCTGAACAGAAGAAAATGCTTCAAATATTTATAATCATAAAATAATGAACTAAATCAAAATTTAAATTAGATCTCTTGTGCTGGTGTGGTCCCATATGGACTTAAAATTTTGTAGGCATTTAAAAGGCTTAATTTTACATGGCATCATGAAGATCAATTCACTATAAGCTTTAATTTATTAATACACCAAATACTTAAAAGTAAGTATCAGAAGATCCAATACTTGTGAACCATAAGAACAGCAACATGCATCAGAGGTAACTCAGGAGACAGTCTGCTAAGTAATAAATGTATCACTAAATTTAAGCCAGATGTTTTGGTGCTTATGTTTGTTCTCAAATGGTTTTCATATATCCTTGAACATAAATTCTGACTTCAATTTATAACACATATTGTCATGGACCGTTTGCAGGACGGAGGATGAACACAGAACATAAAACACAAACGCGCAGAATACAAAGAAAAACGCAGGCACAAGTACAAATAGTTGACTCCAGTAATAACACACTGGGTCCCTTTTATTTTTATACTCTAAAAGATTAAAGTTAGTTCCTTGTAAGTAACCACCCAGGCGTGGCAGCGATAGCCATAAATTCCGGAAAGAGTAGCCTTAGGGAAGCAGATATCCCCAGACTCAGAATTTCAAGGTGGCTGCTCTAGGCACTAGGCATAGATAAAGGAACGAGATTAGCAATGGGCAAGGTGAGCCACAAGGGGCGTTTCTCATCCCCAGCTTCTCTTAGAGTGACCCCCTAAGATCTTCAGCTGAACCCCGGCAGCTGTGCCTGGCTTAGGTCGCCCCTCCCTTGAGGGGTCTTACCCGTCATTGACTAACCAGCCATCTTATGGGGTGTACGCAGCAATCACAGGAACAATATGTTTATCATGTGGCCTCCAGACCCCCAATGCTGTGGGGCGGGGTAGCTCAGCTTGCTTACAACTCAGGTCCTTTGTTATGCCTAGACAACACCTTTGTTTATTACAAAGACCTTGTCTGGAACAGATTACTTTCAAACACTCTAGGCAGGACACATACATTACTAACTTTATTTTTTTTAATTTTTTTTATGTTTTTTGAGACAGAGTCTGGCTTTGTTGCACAGGCTAGAGTGAGTGCTGTGGCATCAGCCTAGCTCATAGCAACCTCAAACTCCTGGGCTCAAGCAATCCTCCTGCCTCAGCCTCCCAAGTAGCTGGGACTACAGGCATGCGCCACCATACCCGCCTAATTTTTTTCTATATATATTAGTTGGCCAATTAGTTTCTTTCTATTTATAGTAGAGACGGGGTCTTGCTCTTGCTCAGGCTGAGGTTTACTCCTGACCTCGAGCAATCCACCCACCTCAGCCTTCTAGAGTGCTAGGATTACAGGCGTAAGCCACCGCACCCGGCCTACTCACTAACTTTAATTCTTAAACTAGGAAAATATATGTCAGTCCCCTACACATATTTTCAAATAAATATAACATAAAATATAAGTATTCCTATTTGATATGTATCTTTCTGTATTTATGCCTATCTCAATGATTTTTCTGTCTTTCAATGGACTCAGCAATAAAAAAAATTGAATTCAACATCCCCCAACCCCACTCCATTCAACTTCCAGTAATAAAAATTACTCTGCTTAAGGCAACTTTACCATATCACTACTCTATATAGTTAACCCTACCATAAAAAGCATGGGAATTGAAAGAAAGAAAGGAGTGAAGCAATAAGAATGAGGTAATATAACAGAAGAATATCTACTATCCTTCAAAATTTGCCAGGCACTATAGCAAGTTCACTACATACACCCTCTGAATAATGTAGGTATGCTTTATGTGAGATAGCCAATTCTATCTCCATAAGAGAAACACTAGCAAGCAGCTGACCAAAGAGAAAACAAGCTTTAAAAGATTCAGCTGTTTAGTTGTTTAATTCATATTTAGAGTAGAGCCTTAGAAAAGTTTAGAATCTTAAAAAAGTTCACGGCTAAGTTAAACAGAAAAGACACAGAACACCAAAAAAAGGGAGATAAGGCCAGGCACAGTGGCTCATGCCTGTAATCCTAACACTGAGGAGGCCGAGGCAGGAGGATTGCTCACGGTCAGGAGTTTGAAACCAGCCTGAGCAAGAGCGAGACCCCGTCTCTACTAAAAATAGAAAGAAATTAATTGGTCATCTAAAAATATATAGAAAAAATTAGGTGGGCATGGTGACGCATGCCTGTAGTCCCAGCTACTCAGGAGGCTGAAACAGGTGGATCACTTGAGCTCAAGAGTTTGAGGTTGCTGTGAGCTAGGCTGACACCAAGGCACTCTAGCCCAGGGAACAGAGTGAAACTCTGTCTCAAAAAAAAAAAAAAAGGTAGATAATAGGACATGCCTAGTCATACTAAATAGCCACGAAGTTCATGTTCTTTTCATTAGTTTCTAGCACCTGTAGAAAGCTAATAAGAATACATTTGAAGTCCTTTGAAATTCTGAGCCTTAAAAAAGGGATTAAGGTGATTTGGGATAGTATATATAGTATACTGTAATACTGTTCCAAATGTTTGATGTCTCTCCTTATAAGAAGATTATATATTCCCACCCTGCTGTACTTAGGCATGGCCATGACTATGGATACAATGTTAGTGGAAATGATATGTGTCAATTTTGCACAGAAGTCTGAAAAACCATGCTCCTTTTTCCTACCTCTTAAAGGATTAAAGTACATGTCAAAAAGGGGCCCCTATCAGCCTTACTTCCTAAGCAACTACAACATTCTGTTTTAAGTCACTATTTCAGGTTGTTTTAACTGGCACATATTCCATCCAACATAGTATGCTACATTTTGTTTAAGAGAGGAGGGAAAATACAAATACAGTTGCCCCTCTGTATCCATGGGTTCAGCATCTATGAATTCAACCAACCAAGTAATGGAAATATTCAAGAAAAAGAATTGTGTCTATACTGAGTATGTATTGATTTTTTCTCTTGTATTCCCTAAACAATATAGTATAACAACTATTTGCATAGCATTTACATTGTATTAAGTATTACAAGTAATCTAGAGATGATTTCACGTGTACAGAAGCACATGCATAGGTCATATTCGAATACTACCATTTTATATGAGGGACTTGAGCAATTGTGGATTTTTATATCCACAGGAGGTCCTGGAATCAACCCCCCACAGATACCAAAGGATGACTATACATGTTTGTGTGTGTGCCTGCATAAAGATCATTGGAAGGATAACAAGTACAAATGCTTTCTTACAGAGGCAGAGGAGACAACCAGTTGGAGGAAGACAAGTATTCTGATGCACATTTTTTCATACACTTTGATCTTTGAACCATGAGAACATATAATTTATTCAAAAGAAACTCAAGTATATAAAAAGGAACTATGAACCCCATGATAATTTGCTTTTGTAAAGAAGATTAACTGAAGCTGATTGAAAGTTCAAAAATAAGAACAGTTTTTAAAAATATAAAATAAATACTAGTTCATAGGCAAAATTTATTTAAATCTATTCAAATTTTCTAAAATAGTCTACCTGAATCCTCCTGGGCTTCATGAGTTTCACCGTCATCTGTTACCTCAAATTCTTTCACAAAATTTGAAGGAAACAATCCCAACTTGTTGTTCAGGGTTCCACTCCACCAACCTTCTTCAACCTGAAAGAGTTCACAACTCAAAAATAATAAAAATTTCTTTTAAAGTGACCTGAATTCCCCCAGTTAAAAAAAGAAAAATAAAAAAAGAAAAATTATATAAAGTTAAAAAAATTCTTTTAAGGGAAAACCTTCACCCTATGGGAAAATTAAGCTACAGTATGGAATGAGCACTAAGTCAGCAATGCAAAATAATCCCTTTAAAACTTAAGAAAACAGGATAAGGAAAAATATATTTTAAGTGCATTAAATCTAAGTGGATTGATCATATATGGGATTAACCATGTATCAACAGCACTTTGCAACATTTACAATGAGAACAATCACAATCTATGAAATAAATACTTTTCTTAAAAATATCAGAGAATACATAGCTCTCTTCTGGAATGTCACTATAAGCCTTGGTTTATAAATATGACATATATTATTAAATTATTTGGAAATTTTTGATTTGTAAAAAGTTTGATGACTATAAGAATATAACTTCCTAAATGGCACAGAAAATCACTAAACCTTTTACTTGAACAGTGATTCTTAACTAAAACATGAAAGAATTTCTTACTTTTTAAAAATTCAGATATCGGACTGTACTAAACACCACCCTCCAAACAGAAATATCCTCATATATCAAACTCTTCAGAGAAATATTTATACTAATAACAAGGTTACTTAATTTCCATGAAGTAACTTAACAAAATATTCAATAAATTGTTTGAAAATGTATAGCTTCTGCTATACATTTTAATAGGTAAAAATAATTTTTTAAAGAGTAAACTATTCATTACCAAAATTTACTTAGCAGTATGCAAGGTCACAGCTAGAAAAAAAGATCATTTTCCTGTTTAAAATATTTTTTAATGTATTCCATCTTATCAGAATTGCAAAACAAATTTTTAGTAAGTTATTCATCTGACAGGGACTCACTATATATAAGCTATGGTGTTAACTACTAGGAAAAGGCTCAAAATTGCATGTGTGACATCCATGTTCTTGAACAATCTAAAGAAACAATCTAAAGAAAAAAAAACAGCAGACAGTTATAATACTAAATATTAATAAGAAGTGCTCCAACAAAAGTATAAACAAAATGCTATAGGAGCACAAAGGGCTTGAAAGAATCAAAAAATACTCCCTGAAGAAGAAATGACAAAAAAAAAAAAAAAAAGCCACTTGCTATTAAAGGCTGAATAAGAGCCTTCCAGATAAAAAGTATGTGAAAAATAATGACTTAAAAATAAATAATTTAGGTCAAATGCAGTGGCTCATACCTATAATCCTAGCACTTTTGGAAGCCAAGGCAGAAGGATCACTAGAGGCCAGGAGTTTGAGACCAGCCTGGGCAACACAGTAAGACCCCATCCCAACAAAAAATAAAATCCCTTTATTAAAAGGATTTGTTCTCACACAGAAGTGGAAACCTAAAAAAAATAAAAAAAAATAAAAAAAATAAAAAAATAAAAGGATTTGTTCTGTAAAATTTGGATTCAATCAAAAGTCAAGGATCCAGAAGGTCACATGTGGCCCCAAGGCCGCAAGTTCCCCACCCCATACGAAGTGGCTAAACTGTTTGAGGAAGTAAGAGAAGACAGTAAGCATGAAGAGTTCAGAATTTTTAGCACACTTGAAGCACCAAAGAATTGGGATTAATTCAAACCAGATGTGATGAGGATATGTAAACCAAACTGAAACAGATGCGACAAAGGGAGATAAACATCAGTGGACTATGATCTATACCTAGAACCCCAATTGGCAGCAACTGGGTAGTTAGGGTTATTTAAGGAATTCTTAAGAAGCAGAGAAGTATAGTGGTAAAGACTCAAAAACAGACTGCATGGATTCATATTCACACTCCCCCATGTGTCAGACATATGAACTTAGACAACAATGGCTGCAACAAGATCTCTCATCCCACAGAGGTGATCTTGACATTGCTCCCACCAAGAAATAGTGGTCTTTGTCCCCTACCCCTCTAAACTTGGTGGCTTATAACTCACTTGTAACCAATAGAATGTAGTGAAAGTGACACTATTATTCCCAAGGCTAGACAGTAAAAAGCAATGAAGCCAATGCCATGTTCACTGAAATGCTTACACTTAGAGCTGTGAACTGCCATGTAATAAAGATGACTACCCTAAAATCCCCTGAGGCTAAATACTGACTCTCCAAGTGGTAGGTATAGTCCTCAAGACTTCTGAGCATAGACATGTGAGTGAAAGAGAATTCCTGATTCCACCAGCCCCTAGCTTTGAATCTTTCCAATAGAGGCCCCCATAGACATCATGGAACACAGACAAGCCATCCCTGCTGTGCCCTAACTGAATTCTTGACTCACACAACCCCTAAGTTTAGGATGGCTTGGTTTGCAGCAACCAAGCTTAGCAACCCCTAAATTTAGGATGGCTTGGTTTGCAATAACTAGGACAGTCAATCACTTATCTTCTGTGATTCAATCTCTTCATGTGTAAAATGAGGATAAAAATTTCTATCTTGTTAGGTTCTTTACAACTTTAAAGGAAATAAATGTGAAACACTTAGTACAGTGCTTCAGATACAATATAGGTTCAAGAAATGTTAGCTATTATTGTATTGCCAACAGGTAGAAATAAAATAAAATTGCCTTCTGTGTAAACACAGTGGAAGTTTACATAAACATAAACATCTGTGATAAATTACAAGGTGTTATGACATAAAATCAATCCTTGCTACAATATATGACATCAACACACATACTTTGAAAATAGGATCTTCAGCTCCTAAATAAAACTTTAACACTGTGTCAATGATAAAAAGAGACGTGAAAAGTTATTTAAAATATTTTAAAATCTCATTCTAAGATATTAAAATGTAGAAAAGTATTTTTGGTTAATTTTAAATGAGATAATCTAAATAAGGCAAAGTTTTAAATTAAATTAAATTAAAAGATTCTGCTTTGTATTCCTTTACTATGTAAAATGTAAAACTCCTTCTATTTCATGCTTTATGCCTACAGTAAATTCAGAAAGGCTCATTTATGCTCTTAGCTACTTAGATTACATAAATTTTTAGCTTTAAAAAGGTTTTTTTATCCCTAGAGGCAACACATACAAGACACAAATATTAGGTATATAGCAAATATGAAATTAAGTAATTCAAACTTAAAGCTGTTAGAACTTTAAATTATTTTGGGCCAGGAGAGGAATGTGGCTATATGGCCTGAGTCACATAGTGTACAGCTTCAACTTCTGCTTTTCTAATTATAAATTAAATCTCTTCCTCATTCTTGCCCTGTAAATAATTAAGGCCAAACAGAGCCAGAGGAAGACCCCGGAGACCATTATCTGTCCTTATAGAATATTAAAGCAATCTTCCTTAGAATATAGGAAGCTATAACCAATCAAATCCCTATAATGTATGTACTGACCTTGTATGAAAAATGTTTTAACCCTGTTTAAGCTTTGCTATTGTAAGTGAAACCCTAACTTCCTCACTTTGGAATGCTAACCCACTCTTTTGGAGTCTGTGTGACTGTTCTCAAGCTTTGTGCTTGAATAAAAACTCTATACTTACACCTATTTTCTGAATCTCATGATTTATGGTTGATATAAGAATGAGTAAAGAAAAATCTATATCTTAAAATTTTATTTAAAAAAAAGTGGCAAAAATTCTCACAAAAAATTCAATATTCTTACAAAGCATGTTTCTAAAACCCAGAGCATCAATTACAATTTCTGCTTTATCTATAACACGTTTTCCTTACCTCTTCATTAATATCAATAATATCTCCCACTTTCAGCTCCAGTTCGTCATCATTTTGTGGAATGTATTCAAAAAGAACTTTACACTGACGCTTCTTGGTCTCTAAAAGTAGTAAAACATTAAGTTAAGAAAGATCATTTTTAAAAGCACCCTTATTTACTTATCATGTAGAACTTACATAAATAAATAAAAACAGAACATATGAGCATTCTATTTTTTTTAAGTGAAAGTGAGATTTATTCAGAAATTGTAGAAAGGAAGTCTACACCACAGACAGAGCAGAGGCAAGTTCTCACTACAGAAGAGTACCAACCCTCTGCAGAAGCTCTAGAAAGTCTACTCCATATAGTAGAAGCTGGCCCTCCCTGCAGAAGAGAACCAGCTGAGCATCCTAAACAGCTAACCACAATTAGTCCAGATTGATTTTTTTTTTTGACTGTGCCCTCACAGTATAAGGTATGCATCCACAAAGAAATTCAACTACAAATAAGATACGAAGTTTCAGGCAATGGAATATATTTATATGTCTTATCCTACCAATTAAGCAAAAGCAAAATATCCACTGCCAATTTTGGGATTAGAAAAACAAACAATAAAAGACACTTCTGGAGCAAAAAAATTACCATAGACAAGTTCTCCAGGTCGATGATTTTCAGACTACTTCCTAACCAAAGTCTAGGAATACTATGTCAAATAAACTACTTTTAAGGTTGTCATAAAGAGGCAAAATGTACAAATCTAAATGCAATGTGTTCTATCTTTTTTAATAATTCTTATTTCCAGACAGATAAAAATCAAACTCACGTAGGTAAACATAAAAACAATTTTAGTTTTTCAAACAAGCTTCATTTAACTCAGAAATACTGATTTATAACCATCCAGGTTTGTATTCTCAACCTTTTTCAAGCTCTAAGAATTAAGAACTCAGATTCATTCCCATCTTTACAAGTGAATCATTAAGCAGCTTAATGAGGGTAGATAACCAGGTACAGCTGACTAAAGGATTACTTCTTACTACTCAGTATATTCCTCAGATCAGCAGCAACAGTATCACCTGGTAACTTGTTAGAAAGGCAATATATTAGGCTCCACCCCAGACCTACTTGTTATGGACTGAATAACAAGTCTTCTCAAAATTCATGTACTGAAACCCTAACTCCCAATGTTTACTTCACCATAGGGCCTTTGGGGAGATAAATAAGGTTAAAGGAAGTCATAAGGGTAGGGTCCTAAACCGAAAGGACTACTATCCTTATAAAAGAGGAAGAGACATCAGCCCATCACTACCCTCCCCAACCCTCTAACAAAAAGGAAAGAACATGGGAGGCAGAGCCCTAGGCCTTAACCACTTCCCCAAAAGGTTCCACCTTTTAATAACACCACAATGGGGATTAAGTTTCAACATGAATTTTGGAAAAGACCATCATTAAAACTATAGCAGTAGCCATACATTTTTTTTAATTAATTAATAAACAAACATGTAGGTCTAACCACATACCATCAATGCCAACCAGTCATCCCAAGAGTGTCTACGTTCCATCAAGAGCCTATTACCAACAATCCAAACAAGATTCTTAATAATTTAAATATACAGTTAAAGAATAGAAATTGAAAAAAAAACATGCACATTAAACAATAAAACTTGAACACATAATGAAATATTAAAATATTTCATATAAACTACAAGTATTCCAAAAATTATTAGAAAGGACAGGTTTGAACTGGAGCAGATATGAAAGGCTTCAACAAAAAAATGATAACACAGTTACACAACGAAAGATGAACAAGAAACAAGAAGGTAGGATACATGTAGCAGACATTCTAGATCAAGGAAATAGTTTTACCAACAAAATAGGATTTGGTAATACAAGGATTCTAAGGAGAGATGGCAGCAAAGGAGAATCCTAAGAAGTCTAGACAGGCAGAATTTCACTGCCATCAAATCATGACCATAAGCACCTCCAAATTAACTTTTTATAAAAAAAAAGACACCAAGCTACAATAGAAATATTACACTGGATTGGAAGTCAGAAGACCTGGGTTCTAGTACAGTTGTCATTATCTAGTTATTTCACCTAAATTCTCTAGGAATCAATTTCCTGTGCCATAAAAAAGCTAAACGAGATAACCACTACATTTACTTCAGTTGTGACATTCTGTGGATCTATAAAATTGTTTATCAAGACAAAAAATAAATATAACTAACCTCCTGAAACCAAAAAATCATAATTACACACAACCAACAGCATGGAGGCACAAAACAGACATGACAATCAAGTAGATAGAAAAATTAAGATTCTCCAAATAAGAAACAGTTACACCAGGCTGGCCGCAGTGGTTCACGCCTGTAATCCTAACACTCTAGGAGGCTGACATGGGAGCATCACTTGAGGTCAGGAGTTCAAGACCAGCCTCAGCAAGAGCAAGACCTAACTCTACTAAAAATAGAAAAACTTCACAAGTCAACTCTAACTAGAAGCAAAAAACTAGCCAGGCATTGTGGTGAGTGCCTGTAGTTCCAGCTACTTGGGATGCTGAGGCAGGAGGACTGCTTCAGCCCAGGAGTTTGAGGTTGCTGTGGGCTATGCTAACCCCACAGCACTCTAGCCTGGGCAACAGAGTAAGACTCTGTCTCAAAAAAAAAAAAAGAAAAGAAAAAAGAAACAGTTAAACCTCTAAGTTTTTTCCCCTTCCTAAAAGACTTAATAATTTGTGTCTGATTGTTTTAACTTTACAATAAAAGAAATGAAAGAAAGTAAATACTGACCATAATTTTTTAACTAACCTAGAGTTCACAGCAAATTTTTCAAGTATCACCTTCATCAGGTTTTAAGGTAAATTTTTAAGTTAATAATTTAAAGTAGTTTTATGCATACTGCAGGAAAACTTCTCATCTCTTACACTGTAGATAAACAGAGTCCTTACATACTTTTTGCAAGCTGGTGCCATGACCTTGAGAAAATATGTTCATTTATGTGTTCTTTGTAGCTAGAGCTTCATGGACAAGGGGGAAATGGTCAATATTATTGGAAAGAAAAATCTATTTTTTTCAGTGTGCTCTTAAAAGAAAAAAATCCTTTCTATCTGATAATTTTAGACTTTTAAAAAACTGTGTTCTGCCGGGCGCTGTGGCTCACGCCTGTAATCCTAGCTCTTGGGAGGCCGAGGCGGGCAGATTGCTCAAGGTCAGGAGTTCAAAACCAGCCTGAGCGAGACCCCGTCTCTACTATAAATAGAAAGAAATTAATTGGCCAACTGATATATATATATAAAAAAAATTAGCCGGGCATGGTGGCACATGCCTGTAGTCCCAGCTACCCGGGAGGCTGAGGCAGAAGGATCACTCGAGCCCAGGAGTTTGAGGTTGCTGTGAGCTAGGCTGACGCCACGGCACTCACTCTAGAAGGCTCCCAAAAAAAAAAAAAAAAAAAAAAAAAAAACTGTGTTCTGCTTCTTTTTCAAGAGCATCAGTATCTTTTAAAATAGGACTTAAGGTAAATACAGTATTCATTAGCCCCTTCCCCAGGCATATCAATTAAGTTTGAGCAGCCTACTTATATTTTAACCAAGAACTTAATTTTTTCCTTTCACACTAAGCATGATTTTTTCAAAGTAGTCCGCAGAATTATTTGCAAAGGAATTTTTCATTTTTCCGAAGAGTCACATTGAATAAAAAACACCCTAATAGCTATTCTCATAGAATGTGAGTCATTTATTTAAAAAAGGAAAAAAGTTCATACTTTAATAGGGTTCATTCATAAGCTGAGGTAACTTCCTATGTTGAATTCATCCAAAAATTTAATTGGCAAAAATAACTGAGGGGAATTTCAAGATTTTTTTTTACAATTCAAACTGCACAATGTCTACCCATAAATACCAGTCAATAAATGTTCACTTCTACAAAGTATCAGAACACATGCTAAGTACAAAAGAAAAAAATAGGTAGAACAAAGTTTTCAATAAAAGGATGCATGAAATTAAGTCCATTTGTAAAAAACCATAACTAGTATATTCTTATCACAAGTAACCTCCATATGCTTTTAAAATCCACAAATTTATGGTAAAAAAAAAAAGTATCTTTTTAAAATCAATATTATATAAGTAAAGCTGTTAACAAGGAAGAGGACAGAGGAGGTACTGCAAAGGAAGGTACACATTTCATATCTTTTGTGTACCACCACTATTCTAAGTCCTTCACAAACACCTCTCACACAAAGCATAAAAACTATCTCATTACAAATGAGAAAGAAGAAACTCAGAAGTTAAATTATCTGTCCAAAATTACAGAGCTAATGTGAAGCAAATCTAAAATTATACCCACTCCTGGTATATTATAATCATTTTAAAGCTTTTTATTTTTCCACTATAGCATGCTACTCCTTTACAGATTACAAATTGCTTTAACATAACTCAGGCAGTCCAGTCACACTGGATTCTTATTCCCCAAAAATACTCTGTACTTGCTTATTTCTGTGAGTCTGCCAAAGATTGCAAATTCTACCTGGAATGCTATACTCTCTAATCTTCATGTGAATTATATGCCTTGCTTGACAACCCCAGTAAGAACTGCCCCTTCATCTAAATCATCACTGCCCATTATATATGTCTGTAATACAATTCTGTATAATAAACACTATTATAATAATTATAAGCATTTATCAAGCACTTATAATTACTTAGCACGTTAATACCTCTAATATCCTATGAGATAATTATTACTATCATTCCTACTTTGTAGTAACTTGGATGTTCACACCTGAATTCTGAATCATGATCTATTCCCAACTTTATGTGGCAGAATTAATTGCCCACACTAGTACTGTTTCTCATGATCATGGCACCCACAGATATTATGGCATTCAACACATAAGAGTCCAAAAATTTTGGAAAACATTTCTAAAGTTTTATATTTTAAAAAACAAAAACCAGGCCAGGTGCGGTGGCTCATGCCTGTAATCCTAACACGCTGGGAGGCCAAGGCGGGAGGATTGCTGAGGTCAGGAGTTCGAGACCAGCCTGAGCAAGAACGAGACCCTGTCTCTACTAAAAATAGAAAGAAATTAATTGGCCAGCTAAAAATATATAGGAAAAATTAGCCGGGCATGGTGGCACCTGCCTGTAGTCCCAGCTACTAGGGAGGCTGAGGTAGTAGGATTGCTTGAGCCCAGGAGTTTGTGGTTGCTGTGAGCTAGGCTGATGCCCTGGCACTCTAGCCCTGGCACTCTAGCCCTGGCCACGTGGATCTTTCTGCCTTTCAGATCTGATCCCCAACACCACCTCCCGAGGGCCCCCTCCCTCCAACCACACTCTAGCTGACATCAAATGACCAATTGAGTCACAGTAAGTATGCAATCTCTCAAGAGTTTTTGGGTTTTACCATGTTAAAACACTTGCTATTTGAGCCTCATAAAAACTGTACTTCTTTGTACATGTTTAATATTTTGTACTTTATTAATAATAAGTTTTTTCCCAAGACTGTAAGTTGAGAACAACAATGTTACCTGTCCTTTTTTTAACCACTTTCTCATCAGCAGCAAAACACAATTCAATAGAGTTTAAAAAATGATCTTTCTGAGATCATAAGACTTACTCAAACCCGTATCTGATTTCAAATGTAATGCTCTCCCTTTCTATCAAGTTGTTTTCCTAAGGTATTTACACAGTACCAAATCCTTAAAAGGCACTCTGTTGAGCCAACCATCATGAAAACAGAATGTTTATGTTTAGATGTCTAACAACTAAACAAAAAGCACTATCAAAATTCTCGCATCTATGCTGCTAAGAATCAGCAGACATTTCAGCATCCCATTAGATAGATTATATTCAAACACAGTTAAAGTTTAATCATTCAACAGAGTCTGTAAGATGACTAAGAAAACAATGCCTTATATTTTAAAATTCCTATAGATGGCTGCCAGCTACTCATGTTGGATTATCAGTATGCTATTGACGACATAGGACTAAAAACTAAGACTGCCTACATAGGCCAATACTAGTAACAAGAATCAGCAGGAAGTTACTGCAGTCTGCTATGAAAGGTTGAACTAATTTTTCTTAATTTATGGATAGTTATAAAATATCCTTCTATTTTGATGTGATTATGCAGGAAAAGAATTATTTACATACTCTTCTTAATGTTTTTGGTTTGTGGATGTGGCTGAATTCCTCCAGCTGGAAGTCCATAGGTGCTTATTCGTTGTACAAGACTTGCTACATTCCCATGCCTCTCCCGTTTGATGGGCAAATTGTCATCCTTGGATTCTGTCTCTCTTTTAATTTCCTACAAAAGAAAAAAATCAATGAAGGGCAAGTTATATTTTATTTAAATCAAATTCTCAAATGTAAAATATTTTAAAAAACAGCTATAGTTATTACTATATAAATCATTCAATAGTTTTCAACCGTTTGCTCTGCCCAAATATAACTAAAGAATGCAACACATTTTGGTAACAGCGACTCATTATGAGTTTAAGTCTTATCATAACTGGAGAAAGAAGGAAAAGAAAGGGAGGCTGAAACCCCACTCCACCACCCACCCCAACATAAAAAGAAATGCTGGCTGGGCGTGGTGGCTCACGCCTGTAATCCTAGCACTCTGGGAGGCAGAGGTGGGCGGACTGCTCGAGGTCAGGAGTTCAAAACCAGCCTGAGCAAGAGCAAGACCCCGTCTCTACTATAAACAGAAAGAAATTAATTGGCAAACTAATATATAGGAAAAATTAGCTCGGCATGGAGGCGCATGTCTATAGTCCCAGCTACTCAGGAGGCTGAGGCAGCAGGATCACTTGAGCCCAAGGAGTTTGAGGTTGCTGTGAGCCAGGCTGACACCACGGCACTCACTCTAGCCTGGGCAACAAAGTGAGACTCTGTCTCAAAAAAAAAAAAAAAAAAAAAAAATGAAACAAAAAAAAGAAAAAGAAAAAAAAGAAAGTGGAAAGACTTTCTTTCTTAACCAAAATATAAAAGAAAACAAGAATGAAACAATAAATTAGACAGTTTGGTACTGGCATAAAAACATACTGATAACCAGAACGAAACAGGGAGTGCATAAACAGACAAACTTAATATACACCAGAAAAGATGAGGAATGATGGAATCTTAAAATACATGGTGCATGAAAACTAATCTGCCATATATTTATGGGGTAGGGAATGAAACACAATTCCTACACAATTCCTCACACATTTGATATTAAAATTAACAATTTTAACTTGATATAGCAACTATACTTTTCTTAACCTCATACTTTACAATAGAATACTAATATCTAAAGTACTGTGTGTAGATTTCTTCAAAATTATCTTCTGAAAAGGATACTTATAAAACAGACATTTTTTAAATACGTGAGAACTGGTAACTGATAATTTGCTGGTTTTTCTAATGTAATGCAAAATAACTATTCTATTTCAGGTTGAAAAATTAGGTTAAGAAAAGATTCAACAGAAATTAAGACACTGTCTTAACTTCAACTGTTGTACTTTTTGCGTAGATCCACGGTTCCCATGGTGCCTCACCAAACTCCCAGAAACACAAGATATTTTAAATGTTTGAGGGAAACACAGAACTATCCAACATGGGAGACACAAGGGAACTATTAGCTTAATGTAGTTCACAAATTTGAACATTAGGTTGCTCTACATTTCTGGGGTTTTTGTTTTGTTTTGTTTTGAAATGGGGTCTTCTCTGTGTTGCCCAGGCTGGTCTCAAGCTCCTGGCCTCAAATGATCCTCCCTCCTCACACTCATAAGTAGATTACAGGCACAAGCTAGTGTTTACATCTCTTTTTTAAGACAGAATCTCTGTTGCTTGGGCTAGAATACAGTGCAGTGGCACCAATAAAGCTCACTACAACCTCAACCTAAACTTCCTAGGCTCAAGGGATCTATCTGCCTCAGCCTCCCAAGTAGCTGGGACTAGGCATATACCACCATGCCCAGCTAATTTTTTTATTTGCAGACATGGGGTCTCACTACGTTACCCAGGCTAGTCTCCAACTTTTAGCCTCAAGTGATCTTTCCATCTTGGCTTCCCAAAGTGCTAGGATTATAGTCATTAGCCACCCCAGCCTCTACATTTCTTTTGATGGTGTCACATATTTGCAAAGTGGGATTTGGGGATGTTGCTAAGATACAAAGCAAGTATCTTGCAAAAATCAATGTGGAACAGGAAACAGAGTGCTGGTAACCAATTAAATTCCAAGGTTTGAGAGTTATGCAGTGCTTTAAAAGTACACACATCCCATTAGTATAACTGTGGTTAAGAATAAAATACTTTTCTTTCAATTTCTGTGTACTATTAAAATGGCTAAACTGTTAAGATTATAAATACTTATTAAGTTATTTGGTCTAGGGGCACCATGAAATAATGACAGACAATAAGGGGGTTATAAACTAAGAAAGTTTGGGGATCTTTGGCATAAACAATTAAAAACAATGGTTCTTAAACTTTTTATTTCTAAAAGCTGATTATGTTAGTATAATATCAAAAGCCACAAATTTTAAAGTGACATTCAAAGTTAAAGGAGGTGGAAAAAGATATTTAACTTTTTAAGTAATCTGTTCTAGCAATATGTCCACAAATATCAACCTAAGTAACTAAAAAACTGAATCAATACTGTTCCTTAATGAAACGTCTCATTCAATATACACTGAAGTAAATTTGTATTTGTATTATTTAAAATAATATTGCCTTTTGGCTCTTAAACATTATGATAAATGTTCATTCACTCATTTCCATAAACATTTACTAACAACTTGCTGACACCAGGCTGGGGCTAGGTATACAAATGTTAACAAGAAGCCGGGCGCGGTGGCTCACGCCTGTAATCCTAGCACTTTGGGAGGCTGAGGCGGGCGGATTGCTCAAGGTCAGGAGTTCGAAACCAGCCTGAGCAAGAGTGAGACCCCGTCTCTACTATAAATAGAAAGAAATTAATTGGCCAACTAATACATATATATAAAAATTAGCCGGGCATGGTGGCGCATGCCTGTAGTCCCAGCTACTCGGGAGGCTGAGGCAGCAGGATTGCTTGAGCCCAGGAGTTTGAGGTTGCTGTGAGCTAGGCTGATGCCAAGGCACTCACTCTAGCCTGGGCAACAAGCGAGACTCTGTCTCAAAAAAAAAAAAAAAAATGTTAACAAGAGATTCTGTCTTTTGCTCTCAGAGTGCTGTACACTTTGCTGAAGAATATAGAGAATAATTCAGCAGTTAAAATTCAGTAAAATAAATATCTACAAATTGGAAACAACCCAATAACCACCAAAAGGCAAATGAATAAATAATGAAATACTATTCAGCAATAAAAAGAAATTACTACCACACAAAAACATCTATCAATTTCAAATTCTGACTGAAAGAAACCAGACATGAAATAAGTACAGTATATATAAAAAATCCTAGAAAATTCAAACTAATCTATAGACAAAGCAAATCAATGGTTTCCTGGCCCAGGGTCAGAGAGAGAGGGAGGGAGGGAAGGAGGGTGGAAGAGACAGGGTGAGAGAGATAGTGATAGTAATGGGGCATAAGGGCTCTGTCAGGAGTGATTTAAACATTCTATATTTTCATTGTGCCAGTGGTTTCATGGTTATCTAAAACTGTCAAAACTCACTGAAATTTTACACACTTTAAATGGATGTCATTTATTACACCATACCTCATAAAGGTCACCTTTTTAAATTTTTATGATATGTGCTATAAGTAGAAAACACCAGGATGCCTAACACAAGAAACACAGCTAATATAAATTCAGTGGTGGTAAGATAAATCAGGCTTACTTCACAAAGTGACATCTCTATTGAGACAAAGAATAAATGAGCATTATCAAGGTGCAGAGAAGGGACTAGGTAAAGTGTCTTAATAGGAAAGAACAGTGTATGAGTAGGACAGAGGGCAATGGAGAGCACAGAGCATCTGAGGAACTAAAAAGACATTAAATTAAGTTTAGCATGGAAGGAAGGAAAGGTAGTGAAAGTGGTAAAAGTTAAAACAGCAAGAAGGCATAGCAGAAGGCAAATGATAGAGAGCTCTCTTAGCTAAGTTAGGGAAACCAAACTGAACTAAGTCCTCACTTAGGGGCTGTATGTGGTGGCTCACTCCTATAATTCTAGCACTCTGGAAAACCAAGGCGAAGGATCACTTGAACATAGGAGACGGGCTGAGCAAGACCTCCTCTCTACTAAAAACAGAAAAATTAGCCGGGGGCGTGGTGGTCCACACCTGTAGTCCCAGCTACTGAGGCGTCTGAGGCAAAAGGATGGCTTGAGCCCAAGAGTTTAAAGTTGCAGTAAGTTACGATTACACCACGGCACTCTGACCAGGGTGACAGAGTGAGAGACTTATCTTACAAAAAAAAAAGTCCTCACTTAAGGTCCTGGATAAGTTCCAAGATAGGTTCTTGGAAACTTCCACATTAAGTGAAACTGAAACAACGTGTAAGGAAATCAATTTTAGCATAGGTTAATTGATATAAACAAGAGTTAAGCTGCTATAGCATATTTATGGTCACAAAAACATTATCAAACTTCTAAAAATACAAACCAAAATACTTCTAGCATTAAACAATGAAATTCATATGAGTTACACACACATTTAAGAAAAATTACTAAAACCAAGCAACATAATTATTTACCCACTCATTCCAGTTCAGGGTTACAGGTGGCCAGAGCCTATACCAGCAGGTCAGAGTGCCAGGTGGGAATCAGTCCAGGACAGATCGCCCTCTCATCACAGGATACACTCACACACCCACACCTGCTCAGATGGGGACAATTTAGACATGTCACTTCGCCTCACATGCATATACTACTGGGAAGAAACTGGAGTACCCAGAGAAAAAACACATAGACATGAAAACGTGAAAACTCCACACAGACAATGGCCCTAGCCAGGAACTAGTTTTTCTCTCAACATTATAATGAAAATTGAATGAAATGAAATAAATTATTCAAGGACCTCCTCTATATTATCAAGATGATAGGATGCTGCCACAGGATTTTAAAAGGTGGAAAAGATCACTCAAATGCAGTATGAAAGAATAAGTAGGAGGAGGACAGGACTAAAGGCAAATATACTAGGTGAGAACTGAATCTGCCTCAAGTTATAATAGTAATGGCAGAAATTTTGAAAGATTCAGAAAATATTCAAGAGGTAGAATCTTGATAATTCATCAAATATGACCTAAGAATAAAGAGTCAAAGACGATGCCCAAGTTCCTGACTTCAACTATTCAAAAGATATTACTATTCACTAAGAACACTAATATATCAGGACAATAAGACA